AGCACCTGCTACAAGTGGCGAGTGGTTCACAGTAATGGGAGGCGCATCAGAGTAAGGAAAGTTAAGAGTGAAGATCTGAAGGTAGGAAATCGCTTCTCTGTTCTTCAGGATGAATGTACTTCAGTGGCCAGTGAAGGTAAGGGTACTACTGCCCCTGCTAATGGAGGTAAGCACATTCTTGTGGTTGGTGACTCTCAGGTAAGATATATTGACCGTGCTTTTTGTAATAGGAATAAGAAGATGAGAGATAGTGTGCTTCCCTGGAGCTGGTGTTGGGGACATTGTCAACAGGCTGGATAATATCATGTCAGGTAATGGGAACAAGCCCATTATCTGTCTCAGTGCTGGTGGAAATGATATTGGGAAGGGTAGGAGAGAAGAGCTGCTAGATAAGTACAGGTCAGCTATAGATTTCATTAAGTCTAAGAGAGGGATCCCAATCATATGTAGCATCTTGCCTAGAAGGGGAGTAAGAAATGAATGGTTGTCTAGGGCAATTGGTGTAAATTGCTGGCTAGACAGATACTGCAAGGAACTTGCAATCCCATTCATTGACAACTGGAACAACTTTTATGGCAAACATGATATGTATGCAAGGGATGGGGTACATCTCTCTGGGGCAGGGGTGGTAGCACTTGCAGACTCGATTGAGAAGGCCATTGGTGAAATGCCTATGATTTTAAACTGATGGAAGATAGAGGTATGGGTGTGTGTGGGAAACAAGCAGGTTGCAACACTAGGGTTGGAAACAGTAAATGTATAAAAGGCATTCAGCATGAAGTTATAAATAAAGACAATAGATCAGGTCAGCAAACAAAGGGGGACAGCAGAGGGCAGCAAGGGACTAGCTCCCTTAAGGTTTACTATACTAATAGCAGGAGTGTAAGAAATAAGATAGATGAGCTAAGATTAATTGCAAGTGCAGGAAACATAGATATTATTGCTATAACAGAGACCTGGCTCAATCTGAAAGATAGAGAGATGCCCTCTGAATGTCACATACAAGGCTATAAATTATTCCACACTGACAGGGTCAACAGGAAAGGTGGTGGAGTAGCGATGTATGTCAGAGACAATTTAAATTGTTGTGTTAGACAAGATATTAAATTAGAAGCGTCAGCCACTGAATCTGTTTAGTTACAGCTTCTTGAGGGCCGAGAAAAACTAATTTTGGGTGTGATTTACAGGGCCCCAAATCTTGATAGGGAGTGCAGTAAACTTCTATGGGACGAAATTCGTAAGGCATCTACATACGAAAATGTTGTGCTAATGGGAGATTTCAACTATAGACAGATTGACTGGAGCAATTTGACAGGAAATTTAGAGTCAGGTGACTTTCTTGATACGATCCAGGATTGTTTTTTAAAACAGTTTGTGACAGAGCCAACTAGGGGAAATAACCTCCTTGACTTGGTTCTTGCCAGTAGGGAAACACTAATTAATAATCTTGAGGTTAATGATGAGCTTGGGGAAAGTGATCACAAATCACTCAGTTTTAATATATCATGGAATTCCCCTAATAATGGCAATCAAGTCTCCGTCCCTGACTTTCGCTTGGCTGATTTCATAGGACTGAAAAATTACTTAGGTGGGCTGAACTGGAATGACCTGACTAAGGGTCAGGTAGGTGGTGATGGTTGCCGATATGATGCTTTCCAGGGCATAGTTCTAGCTGCTCAGTCAAATTATGTTCCAAATAGGGAAATCAGATCAAACAAAAATGATCCTAAATGGATGAACAATAGATTAAAATATCTGATTGGTCAAAAGAGAGGCATATATAGGCAAATCAAAAGAGGAGAGGGGCAATTAAGAAATCGATATATTCAGTTAAAGAGAGAAATAAAAAAGGGAATTAGAAAAGCAAAAAGAGATTATGAGGTTAAAGTTGCAAGAGAATCGAAGACTAACCCAAAAGGATTCTTTCAGGTATACAGAAGTAAGATCAGGGACAAGATAGGCCCACTCAAAAGTTCCTCGGGTCAGCTCACTGACAGTGATAAGGAAATGTGTAGAATTTTTAACACATACTTCCTCTCAGTTTTTACACAGGAGGATATCAGCGATATTCCAGTAATGATAAATTATGTAGAACAGGACGATAATAAACTGTGCACGATTAGGGTCACAAGTGACATGGTCCTTAGGCAAATAGATAAATTAAAACCTAACAAATCCCCAGGCCCTGATGAACTGTATGCAAGGATTCTAAAGGAATGTAAAGAGGAGCTTAGCACACCTTTGGCTAATCTTTTCAACATATCACACTACAAACTGGCATGGTGCCAGATAAGTGGAAAATGGCAAATGTGATACCTATTTTCAAAACAGGTGACAGGTCCTTAGCTTCGAACTATAGACCAATAAGCCTAACCTCCATAGTGGGAAAATTTATGGAATCAATAATTGCCGAGGCAGTTCGTAGCCACCTTGAAAAGCATAAATTAATCAACGAATCTCAGCATGGTTTTACAAAGGGGCGTTCCTGCCTTACGAATTTATTAACTTTTTTCACTAAGGTATTTGAGGAGGTAGATCATGGTAATGAATATGATATTGTGTATATGGACTTCAGTAAAGCTTTTGACAGGGTCCCACATCAGAGACTATTGAGGAAAATTAAAGCACATGGAATAGGAGGAGAAATTTTTTCCTGGATAGAGGCATGGTTGACAAATAGGCAGCAGAGAGTTTGCATAAATGGGGAGAAATCAGAGTGGGGAAGCGTCACGAGCAGTGTTCCACAGGGGTCAGTGTTGGGCCCCCTGCTGTTCACAATCTACATAAACGACATAGATGAGGGCATAAAGAGCGACATCGGCAAGTTTGCCGATGACACCAAAATAGACCGTCGAATTCATTCTGACGAGGACATTCGAGCACTCCAGGAAGATTTGAATAGACTGATGCAGTGGTCGGAGAAGTGGCAGATGCAGTTTAATATAGACAAATGCAAAGTTCTAAATGTTGGACAGGACAATAACCATGCCACATATAAACTAAATAATGTAGATCTTAATATTACGGATTGCGAAAAAGATTTAGGAGTTCTGGTTAGCAGTAATCTGAAACCAAGACAACAGTGCATAAGTGTTCGCAATAAAGCTAATAGAATCCTTGGCTTCATATCAAGAAGCATAAATAATAGGAGTCCTCAGTTGTTCTTCAACTCTGTACATCCTTGGTTAGGCCTATTAGATTATGCTGCACAGTTTTGGTCACCGTTATTACAGAATGGATATAAATTCTCTGGAAAATGTACAAAGGAGGATGACAAAGTTGATCCCATGTATCAGAAACCTTCCCTATGAGGATAGACTAAGGGGCCCTGAATCTGCACTCTCTAGAAAGACGTAGAATTAGGGGGGATATGATTGAGGTGTATAAATGGAAGACAGGAATAAATAAAGGGGATGTAAATAGTGTGCTGAAAATATCTAGCCTAGACAAGACTCGCAGCAATGGTTTTAAGTTGGAAAAATTCAGATTCAGGAAGGATATAGGAAAGTACTGGTTTGGTAATAGAGTTGTGGATGAGTGGAACAAACTCCCGAGTACAGTTATAGAGGCCAGAACGTTGTGTAGCTTTAAAAATAGGTTGGATAAATACATGAGTGGATGTGGGTGGGTGTGAGTTGGACCTGATAGCTTGAGCTACCAGGTCGGTTGCCGTGTTCCTCCCTTAAGTCAATGTGACCTGACCTGACTAGGTTGGGTGCATTGGCTTAAGCCGGTAGGAGACTTGGACTTGCCTCGCATGGGCCAGTAGGCCTTCTGCAGTGTTCCTTCGTTCTTATGTTCTTCTTATGTTCTTATAGCAGTTGCCTTCTATTTTGAATTCATCACATGGTAAAAAATTTAAGTTTTACTCAATTTCTTGACTAATAAAATATAGCAAAGAATGTTTGGTCATAGTTTAGGCCGTCCCAATAATTGAAGCAGACCCAGTAAAAATCCATAAAATAGACTGTAGCTGTAGGGGATCCCTGCCCTTCTGTTTTGATGCCTATTTCAAGCTATTTCACTATTGTTATACATTCTATCAATTAATGCCGAGAAACAGCCAATAAAAACACTTCGAAGTCACTATTTTAAACCAAATACGTACTTGGTCAGTTTTGCTTTTCCCATTGTGCTGTGTGGGGGGGGGGCAAGCTATTTTTTTTACTATGCACAAACATTCTCATGTCTAGGCAAAATGTTTTTGCTTACAGCATGCTTGATGGTGCTATACTTTAAACATAGATCTGTAAGTGACACTGGCATCTATGACTTAGATCTACATGGTAGACAGTGAAAGGGTTAAGTACAGTGATCATTTCTATTAATGATTAACCTCATCTTCTTTCTTTCGACACACCAGTCGTATCCCACCAAGGCGGGGTGGCCCAAAAAAGAAAAACGGAAGTTTCCTTTTAAATTTAGTAATACTGTATATATACAGAAGGGGTTACTAGCCCCTTGCTCCTGGCATTTTAGTCACCTCTTGTGACACACACGGCTTATGGAGGAAGAATTCTGTTCCACTTCCCCATGGAGATAAGAGGAAATAAACAAGAACTAGTAAGAAAATCGAAACCCAGAGGGGTGTGTATATATATATTCCGAAATGCCTAGCCATGCTAGGCATTCTAGTGGTACACTCTGTAATCATTATTTAACTACATGTAAACCACACAACAACCAAATTCTGTAAATTCAACATTGTAATCTTTATAGAGAATAAACTTTGAATTTGAATTGAATATATACTTGTACATGTGTGTGTAGTGTAACCTAAGTGTAAGCAGAAGTAGCAAGATGTACCTGAAACTTGCATGTGTATGAGACAGAAAAAGACACCAGCAATCCTACCATCGTGTAAAACAATTATGTACAGGCTTTTGTTTTACACTCACTTGGCAGGACTGTAGTACCTCCCTGGGTGATTGCTGTCTACCAACCTACTACCTATAAGCTCCTAATATTCTTGTTAAATATGATCTTTACATTTCAGATGAATCAACGAAGGCAGAAGCCAACTTACACATCTGAAGTTGACCATTTATTTGAATAATTCTGGCAAAAAGCGCAGCCTCTCAGAGAGTAAGTTATCAATTCTTGGTATATGGTTATTTGTCATATTTGAATAATTTTGCCTTAAAATATGTTTTGAAAATTGCAGTTAAAAAAACCATACCACGGGTGGGGTTTGATCCTGCAGTCAGAGAGTCTCAAAACTCCAGACCGTCACGTTAGCCACTGGACCACCCGTGGTATGGTTTGTTTGCAATCGTGTCATTACGATTTCGTGAGTCATGCAGTTAAAATTTAGTGTTTATTAATGAAGTTTAAACTACTGGAGAATTTCCTTTTTTTCTAAAATTAGCATTTTAGTAAAGAAAGTGTATCAACATTTGTTAGGATGGTTAACAAAAACAGGGTATTAAAGGGAGTGTTGAAGACAGTCTAATTAATTTTGAGAGCTGTTAAACCTTTCACTGTCCAGACCCCTGATCTAAAACTTGTCCATTGTCCAAGAATTTTTACAACTTTTTTTTATGAAATGGTAGAGAATCTTTTTCTGAATGTAATAAAACAAAAAGTACAAAATTTTATCAAAATTGATTAAATTATACTTTCGTGAATTTTGCTGTGCCAGTGATTTATGCATTGGGAATTTTGCTCACTTTAAGTCCAATTTTAGGTCAGTTACATTGCTCCAGTTGACCATATTCTTAGCCAGTTCGCTGGTACGTCTTCCATAAATAACAAAAAAGGCACAATACTGTGACTGGAGCAATACACAAATAACCCGCACATAGAAGAGAGGAGCCTACGACGATGTTTCGGTCCGACTTGGGCCATTTACAAAGTTGCACAGTGTGACTTTGTAAATGGTCCAAGTCAGACCAAAATGTCGTCGTAGGCTCCTCTCTTCTATGTGCGGGTTATTTTTGTACATCTTCCATTTTATTTACAGAGTCCAAGAAATTGGCCAGTCAACTATTTCAGCTACCCAATAAAGTAATCAGAAATTGGTAATTTGGCCAATTTCACACAAATTTCAAAATATTCTAATTTCAAAATAAGGTCTAGAATAAACATTGCAGGCATTCCTGGCACTAAAATAACATTTCCTCTGTTCATTACTTACATTTCCAGGCTTTATGCATGAATTCTATTTTAAATTTTTATTCACACAAAAAAATATAAGATTTACTGTTATGCATTTTTGTAATAATTGTATAAATAATATCAGCGCATTCGTGAATGCATGTTAGACTTGCCAGTTGATGCGTATTGAATACAAGACTTGATGCATTTACTCTTGAACATTGGCAAAAATCAAATATTTACACTACTTTGAGCTCAACTTCAAGCTATTTTCAGTCCTAAAGGCAGTCAAAATCATCTCTATTTCTGTTACATATCTTCTGTTCTATCAACTGAGACCAAGAATACAACCATGAAAACCATACGAAAATACACCGCAAAGTTGCTGTTTTAAACCAAAAACATGTTCGCTTTTTTTTCTCTTGCACAGCATGCTTCAGGATTTTTTTTGTTTATGGTGCACACTTATTGCATCTTCCCATTCTCTCGTATCTAGGCCCAAAGTTACCACTCACAGCTTATCTGAATGAGCCAAACTCATGTAGTACTACGGCACAGTCAGCAAAAGGATTAATGTTTATTGATTGTGTTGGAGTAAATTATGGGTTAGGAGTAAGTAGTTTTATTATATAAATTGATGTGGTTTTTATGAAATATATTATCAGCCTTGTTTTGTGTATCGTATATAGGAACTGTGGATATCATTTAACTACCTCTCATTTAAAAACTCCTACTTAATAACCCATGTCTAGTTTTTAAGTAGTCTTTAAGCATTAGGATTAGTCTGTCTGAAATGCACCACATGTTAGTGGCTTTCTTTTGTGCCTTACAATATTTTATGTGGAAACTACATTACCCGTATAATGCAGAAAAAATATAACCAAGGGTGAAATGGTATACTGGCATAATATATTATGATGATGAACTATCGTGCTTTATATACAACTCACCACACTGAAATTATTGCACATAAGAGCATTTTCAGAATTTTTTTTTCCCCTCCATTAGTTGAACTTTTTTTTTTAAGAAAATTTAAGTGAAGCAAGCCAAAAAAGAAACATCTTTTGAAGAATGAAATGAAGATTATAATATATTTGATCAAATTTACTGGATTGTGCAAAAGAAGATAAATATTAGCTACCCATTCTGACAGATATGCTGAGGGATGCTTCTGGGGAATATACCTTTGATGGGTTTTGAGAGCTTTCCTACTCTCGAAGCCCAGCTCTGGGCCAGGCTTGTCTGCAACACCTTAGCATCCCGGTTCCAGACCAGGCCTCCTGGTGGATGGTCTGATCAACCAGGCTGTTACCGCTGGTCACGTGGAGTCTTAACATATGAACCACAGCCCTGATATTTGGGAACTGATTTTAAGAACCTTGTCCAGTTCCCTCTTGAAGACAGCCAAGGAGAGTGGTGAAGATCCAGAAACTTCTGACACTCGGCTTGTTCTCTCAGGTCAGATCACTGACAGTTATAAGGATATGTGTGAACTTTTCAATACCTACTTCCTCTGTTTTTACTCAGGAAGATACTAGCGAAATGCCAGAAATAATATAGAACAGGACGATAATAAACAATGCACGATTAGGGTAACTAGTGAAATGGTCCTCAGACAAATAGAGAAATTAAAACCTAACAAATCCCCAGGCCCTGATGCAAGGGTTTTAAAGGAATGTAAAGAGGAACTTGGTATACCTTTTGCTAATTTTTTCAATACATATATTACTACAAACTGGTATAGTGCCAGAAAAGTGGAAAATGGCAAATGTAATACCTATTTACAAGGCAGGTGACAGGTCCTTAGCTTCAAACTATAGACCAATAAGCCTTACCTCCATAGTTGGTAAATTTATGGAATCAGTAATTGCCGAAGCAATTCGTAGCCATCTTGAAAGGCATAAATTGATTAACGAATCTCAGCACGGTTTTACAAAGGGGCGTTCTTGTCTTACGAATTTACTTTCTTCACTAAGGTACAGTGGACCCTCGCCTAACGATATTAATCCATTCCTGAGAGCTCAACGTTAGGCGAAATTATCGTTAGCCGAATTAATTTTCCCCATAAGAAATAATGGAAATCAAATTAATCCGTTCCTGACACCCCAAAGTATGAAAAAAAAAATTACCACATGAAATATTAATTTTAATACACACAAACTGAAGAAGACATGCACAGTTACATGACACTTACCTTTATTGAAGATCTGGTGATGATTGATGGGATGGGAGGAGGGGAGAGTGTGGATGGTGTTAGTGTTTAGAAGGGGAATCCCCTTCCATTAGGACTTGAGGTGTCAAGTCCTTTTCTGGGGTTACTTCCCTTCTTCTTTTAATGCCACTAGGACCAGCTTGAGAGTCACTGGACCTCTGTCGCACAACATATCTGTCCATTGAGGCCTGCACCTCCCGTTCCTTTATGACATTCCTAAAGTGTTTCACAACATTGTCAGTGTAATAGTCACCAGCACGGCTTGCAGTAGCTGTGTGAGGGTGATTTTCATCAAAAAAGGTTTGCACTTTAAGCCACATTGCACACATTTCCTTAATCTTTGAAGTAGGCAACTTCCTCAATTTCTCTATCCCCTCCTCTGGAGCAGTTTCCTCAGGTCTGGCCTCTTGCTGTTGAAGATGATCTAGCAGCTCATCAGTGGTTAGTTTGTCATTGTCCTCCTCCACCAACTCTTCCACATCCTCCCCACTAACCTCCAACCCCAAGGACTTCCCCAATGCCACAATGGATTCCTCAACTGGTATAGGATTCCCAGGGTTAGCCTCAAACCCTTCAAAATCCCTTTTGTCTACACATTCTGGCCCCAGTTTCTTCCAAGCAGAGTTCAAGGTCCTCTTGGTCACTTCCTCCCAAGCCTTACCTATAATGTTTACACAATTGAGGATGCTAAAGTGATCTCTCCAAAACTCTCTTAGAGTCAATTGAGTTTCTGAGGTCACTACAAAACACCTTTCAAACATAGCTTTTGTGTACAGTTTTTTGAAGTTTGCAATGACCTGCTGGTCCATGGGCTGCAGGAGAGTAGTAGTATTAGGAGACAAAACCTTGACCTTAATGAAGCTCATTTCTGCAGAAAGTCACTCTGCCACGTCTGAAGGATGACCAGGAGCATTGTCTAATACCAGGAGGCACTTAAGGTCCAATTTATTTTCCAGGAGGTAATTTTTCACAGTGGGGGCAAATGCATGGTGTAACCAGTCATAGAAAAAGTCCCTAGTGACTCATGCCTTGCTGTTTGCCCTCCACAGCACACACAAATTAGCCTTGAGGACATTGTTTTGCCTGAACACTCTGGGAGTTTCAGAGTGATACACCAATAAAGGCTTCACTTTGCAATCACCACTAGCATTAGCACACATCAACAGAGTAAGCCTGTCTTTCATAGGCTTATGTCCTGGGAGTGCCTTTTCCTCCTGAGTAATGTAGGTCCTGCTTGGAATTTTCTTCCAAAACAGGACTGTTTCATCACAATTAAACACTTGTTCAGGTTTCAGTCCTTCACTGTCTATGTACTCCTTGAATTCATGCACATATTTTTCAGCTGCTTTGTGGTCCGAACTGGCAGCCTCGCCATGCCTTATCACACTATGTATGCCACTACGATTCTTAAATCTCTCAAACCAACCTTTGCTGGCCTTAAATTCACTCGCATCACCACTAGTTGCAGGCATTTTTCTAATTAAATCGTCATGCAACTTCCTAGCCTTTTCACATATGATTGCTTGAGAGATGCTATCTCCTGCTATCTTTTTTTTGTTTATCCACACCAATAACAGTCTCTCAACATCTTCTATCACTTGTGATCTCTGTTTCGAAAACAAAGTTGCACCTTTGGCAAGAACAGCTTCCTTGATTGCCGTTTTCTTGGCCACAATAGTAGCGATGGTTGATTGGGGTTTTGTGTACAACCTGGCCAGCTCGGAGACACGCACTCCACTTTCATACTTAGCAATGATCTCTTTCTTAATATCCATAG